TCCTTTTTCTGTAATGCTAATTTACCAAAATAAAGTTGAGTTGAGTTAATGATGGACGGGTTCTCTTCACAAAGATGGCCTCCTTTTACTCCTCTCTCAAACCAGTGTTCCTCTCTATCAAGCTGGTGATTTGAGCTTATTTTGCCACCGCAGGACCTGAGAACCCTGAAGTTTTTTGAGTCAACCATGTACACAAAGGAGCCAAATGTGAGGCCATCTGTCCAGCAGCTGACCCTTGGACCAAACTGGCTCATGATGCAACAAGACAAAGGCATAGCAGCAAATCTACAACAGAATGAAAAATAATCTGTTTTGCTGAGTATACCGTAAATATCCCTCCACCTTTTAACTGCCCTTGGGTTACACTGACCCAGAGGCCTTCTGGGCAGCACAAGGGATAATATGAAACACTGGTCATAGAGAAGACAAGTTCTTCAAATGAATGCTGCTGAAGGTGGTTCCACAAACCATTAAACAATGCAGTGTAACAAGGTTTTCCACACTATGGTTCCACGTTTTTGCAATGGCTAGTTGTACAGTCTTTCCCTCATTTAAGACCTGATTTGATCAGATGTATTCTTTATGTTCTCTTTTTAACAACCTTATTAAAACCGACAGGCAGTTGTAATCACATACATCGTGTTTGCACCATACAGTGTATTTAGTCCGTTTTCTGTTTTCAGACACTATCGTTATTTCCTCCGCGGATACTTAAAATGTTGGAGTTTGCAGGCTTTTCAGGAGACAAGGTTTGATACATCAGATTTTTTTCCCATCATGCCTTCTCTCATCACTCTACTGACTGGTACTTGTTTTCTGCATGTTTTGTTGTAGGAGTATGGTCTGTCTCTCCTGTGTGGTGCTGCGACAGGGATGAACTTGCGCTCCATGTTGTGTGTTCTGCTGCTGCTCTGCTACCATACCTTCCTCACAGTCATACTTGGTAGTGCTGCAGCTAAATTCATGTGGTTTTGACAATCTCAGACAGTGTCAATTAATTTAATGCATTGTTTATTTTGTATAAAGGTTTCTGTATCATTATATTCTGTTTTATCCTCACAGGAACTGGGGAAGGTGAGGTAGCTGAGGCTGAAAGACTGCTAAAACCTTTCCGGCTTCGATACCCGAAGGTAAGAATCGTCTCCAGAGGCTTTTTAAATTTTTTTTATTTCAACACATCATGATGTGGAGAAATATGCAGTGTAGCAAATCTATATCTAACAAAGTATAGATGAGCTCAACTGTTAATACAATATTTTAATTTGAATGTTTTGTTGCAAAATTAGCTTATGTCTAAATAGTAACCATTTCACTACCCTAGTTTGTCTGAACATGTTGAGGGAATTGTCACAAATTAGCTATAGTCCTGTAATCATGTGTAAACCATATTTATTTCTGTGGTGGTTCTGGCATGAATATTACTCTGGGTGAGTGTCTGAATTAATTAATTTAAGTCATAAGGACAGGGTGGCAGAGAAGTACGTTAGACTGGTACAGGTCATGTACGAGGACAGCAGGACAGTGGTGAGATGTGCTGTAGGAGTGACAGATAGCTTCAAGGTGGAGGTGGGAGTGCATCAAGGATCAGCTCTGAGCCCCTTCTTGTTTACTCTGGTGATGGACCGACAAACAGATGAGGTCAGTCAGGAATCTCCGTGGACTATGATGTTTGCAGATGACATTGTGATCTATGTTGAGAACAGGGAACAGGTGGAAGAGAACTTGGGAGAGGTGGAGGTATGTACTTGAAAGAATGAAAGAAAATAAATAAAAATCAGCCATAGACTACATGTCTATCTGGTTTTCACCCCCACCACAGCACTGAAACTGCTATCATTATAATCACGTCTTTCTAATCCGAGACAGGACATAGAGCTGTTATGCTGCTTGGATGTTGGGGTTGAAGCCTAAAATGACTAGCCTCCATATGATCTAGACCTACCTAAGATTCTATAAATGCTTACTATAAAATGTCCGTCTTGGACACACATTATATTTGGCATAAATATTAATTGGTTAATAAATTAATTTTTGTTATAATGGTGGTAAATTAATATTTTATTGTAGTCTGTAACCTGCATGGTGTATGTTCTTCTTTCGTCTCTTCCCTCTTCTGGGGTCATCACAGCAAGTCATCCTTCTCCACCTCACTTTGTCCTCTGCATCCTCTGTCCTCACTCCAACTACCTCCATGTCCTCTTTAACTGCATCCATATATCTCCTCTTTGGCCTTCCTCTTTTCTTTTTCCTGGCAGCTGCATTTCTAACATCCCTCTACCAATATACCCACTGTCCTTCCTCTGGACATGTCCAAACATCTCAGTCTGGTCTCTCTAACTTTATCTTATTCAACCTTTATCTTGTTCAACCTGTGCTGTACCTTTGACGATCTCATGCCTAATCTTATCCATCCTTTTATCACTTCTAAGGAGAACTTCAACATCTTCAACATCTTCATTTCTACCACTTCCAGTTCTTTCCTCAATCTTTTTGCATCTGTTATTGTTAATAAAGCAAATGTACAATATAGACGTGTTCAGGTTTTCAGCATTACTTATTAAAATAAAAAAGTAATAACCACTTTATTTCATATAGGTTGAATAGGGATCCCGGTTATGACTGTTAGTTACCTATACAGTGTTTCCCTTACCTCATTCGCCCCACTCTGGGCCCATGAGCAAGGCCCTTAACCCCTCCCATCTGCTCCCTAAATAGGTCTCTCTTGAAAACGAGTTCTTGTGGCTCATTGAGACTACCTGGATAAATAAAGGGTAAATGAAAAAAATAAAAAAATTCCATCATGTAACTATGCTAACCAACATCACCCCCCCCCCCCCCCACACACACACACACACACACACACAATCCCTGTGGATCTGTGATAATTGTTGCACATGTACACGGCACAGTGACCCACGACCCATTTTCACACTTGTTCAAGTCACACACTGGGTGCCCCAAACAGGACCACAATGCTTTGTATTAAACAAAGATGGTGGTATCTGCAAAATGGCTCATCCTCCTCAACCTGAGTGCAGCCTTTGACACCATCTCTCTTTCTTTCCTCCTCAATAGATGAACTTCTTCAACCTGCATTTCTTGTACTCACCTTGACTGGTTCAAATCGTCTCTCTCTGGTCGCACTTAGTTAATTCAACTTCAGTCTTTTTGCTCTCAGTCTTCCCCTGTTTCTACTCGTGTGCCACAAGGTTCTGTCCTTTGGCCCTTTCCTCTTTATTACTTACCCTCTTCTGCTTGGTCATATCTTTCGTAAATTTGGCATCCATTTTCACTAATATGTGGACGACACCCAGCTCTACTTGTCTACGAGACCTAATTCTATGCTCCCACCCTCCATCCTCACTGATTGTTGCACTGAGCTTAACCACTGGTTTTCCTACAATTTTCTTCATCTAAACAGTGACAACGGGTTGATTATTGTAAGCCCCTTCTTTTCGGCTTCCCCAATAAATCCCATCATAAGTTACAGGCTGTTCAGAACTCTGCTGCCCATGTCATTACCCAAATCCTTTTCCATAATCACATCACTCCTGTACTACAGCAGCTTCGTTGTCTTCCAGTCAAATGTGACCGGAACATTGTCTTCATTTCTTCAGTCTTCCATCCTGAGCTAGCACAAGGCAACAGTGAAAAGGAGAAAACGCCCTCTTAACAGGAAAAAACCTCCACCAGAACCAGGCTCAAGACGAGCGACTATCTGCTTCGACCGGCTGGTTTGAGAGGACAGGAAGGAAAAACGGACACAGAATGGCAGGTCCAGAATGGAGGCGAGCAGGAGAGCAGGTCCCTCATTAGGAGGAAAGATTTAAAAAAAAACTTAAGATGGAAACAATTACAAATACAAATTATTCGTTTGCATTCATTTGTAACTATTCATTTGATTAAATAAGGTTAATTTATCCCCCAGCAGTCTAAACCTATAGCAGCATAACTAAGGGATAGGTCAGTACGTCCATACTGTCTCTCCTTCCATTCATTTTCTTGTAAATTCACTAACACTATCCACTCCACCTTTAACCTACATGCCAGCCCATCCCAGAGAACAAACTTAACGCACCAACACAGTGTGTGCTGAAGCAGAGAGAAATGTCTTGGTTAAATATGGCCTGGAATTATTCTTTTATATTTCGTAGATTGATGAAAATTTAACAATGAGCAAACTGATGACTGAAACTGTATTACTGGCCTTTGTCCTTCCATCTAGGGTGCAATATTTCTTTTCTTTGCTGGCAGAACTGAGGAGATCAAAGGAAACATTGATGAGGTGTGTTTAAAAATATCTGTGTTGAATATTTTATTACAGCTGTTTGTTTGAACAGATTTTATAGAAGAGTAAGTGACCCTTCTTTAGGCTGGGTGCAGCACAAAATGCCTTGGTTGCCATGGTAATAACAGTCCTGTGTTTTAGGCAGTAAAATTCAAAGGACTAGCATCCAATGTTAATATTCAAGACACCTCAAATACTGAGTCACTGATGCGTCATCGCTAATCTTCTAATTGTGCTATTTTATTGGGCTAACAGGCGGTGGCCTTGTTTGAAGACGGCTGCAAGGCCCAGCAGACGTGGAAGCAGTTTCACCACATGTGCTACTGGGAGCTGATGTGGTGCTTTACCTTTAAGCGTGCGTGGAAGATGGCGTACTTCTATGCAGACCTACTGAGCCAAGAGAGCCGTTGGTCCAAGGTACAAAAAGCACATGTCAGTTTTATTCAAACGGTAAAACGTTTTAATGAATGACCTCTGTATTCATGTTTTCCTCAGGCCATGTATGTGTACATGAAAGCTGCTTACCTCAGCATGCTGCCTAAAGACGAAGCCAGACCTTTTGGGGAGGATGAGGTAGAGCTCTTTAGGTAAATCTGCATTTTGTTTTTTTATGATGCATGTTGTTTTTAGAGATTAGACATTTTGAAGTAGGTTTCTGTGGAATAGTTATAAACCATTAATAGCCTGCATAACTCTTTGAACAATCTCGGTTTGGAGAAATGAGGTTTAATTACAACAAGTCTGATGAGCTCACAGCTAGTTTGAGTGCAGCCAAGACCAAAGTGCGTTGTTGTTGTCTTAAAAAACACCTGCAGCTTCTGTTCATGCAAACATTGTCTTATAAACTTTCACACTGCCGTCAGTTTTGCAACACATGGATATTTCAGTGGGACTGAGTCCAGTGGGACGAAACGTCTCGGCAACAAAAGAAGTGGGACTCTGTTTGTTTGGTGGCTCCTCAGATTGAAGAAGTTCTCTGGATGAAGGATGAAACATCTCAGCAAAAAAGAAACCATGTAGATGACCTGACTGAACATTGTTGGATTTGTACCTGGATTATTGAGCATGAACTTTGGTGTTTTGAACCACGTTGGCATGGCTGCCTCAGAGGTGGTGACGGGGGAGAGGGCGGCCCTGGAGGCCATCTTATCACCAGCAAACTGGGGTTTTTTTCCCACTATGGCGTATGCTGTTTGTGGGATTCTATTTGTTTGATGGCTCCTCAGATTGAAGAAGTCCTTTGGATGAAAGACGAAACATCTCAGCAAAAAAAGCAACCATCCAGATGACCTGACTGAACATTGTTGATATTTCAGCATGAATATACAGTATATATATTTTATGACCTGCCCCAGGGTGCTGCTTCTGCCACAGTTTGTTCAGGCCAATAAAAACAGAATGCTATGTAAATGACAGTAATGCAAAACTGATGGTGATGTAAAGGTTCGTAAAATGTATCTATTTTATTCATCAACCTTTATTTTAACGGGTAGGTCAATAGAAAACCAGTTCTCATTTACAATGATGGCCTAGCCAAGAGGCAGTGTTACAGATAGATATAAACCAGCAACGATTAAAGCATGAAAACAACAAAAACAAGCAGTACAACTCAAAACATTACTCCAAATCCAGAAAAAGAACTGTGGGAACAACAAATAATAAAAATAACAAACTGTAAACTGTGATTAGCATTGTAAGACGGGTGGTTCAAGTCCAGAGCAGTAATCTTGTACCAGTAATTGTATTGGTTTTTAAAAAGAGGAAAACTAAATGAATGAGCCAAGCTGCATTAGTGCTTTTTAACTATTATGCTATTTTTTAAGCCAAGATTTAAAATAGTGTTTGCATGAATATAAAATGTATAATTCCTCTTTTAGTCTTGACCCCTCTGAAACTATCTGTTGGCTCATTAGTCTGGTCAGAGTTTAACACTTTTACTCCAAACTGAGGACAGTCAATGATCTATCTACAACAGGTAAGATATTATATGCTCATAACCTTTCCACAGAACTCATTTAGAAAAAATCTGAACTATACTTTAAATTCTCAAAACATTTGCTTGTAATTGAGTGTTTTTCATGACATGAAAATCAACAAGTCAGCACTACCCGAATGATTATCTCCTGTGTTTGAATCAAAATGAGCTGGAAGCTGTCAAGATCATGTCAGGAAGTGTGACGCAACATGCAAACCCACACAGAACTGCCCTTTGAAAACACGAAGATTCACAAGCAAATAAGCAATAAAGCTTAGACAAACATTTAAATTATGCAGGGAGGCATTTATGTGAAAAGTACACTGTTTTATTTTTTTGCTGTTTGAAAACATACACTGTTTCTATAGTGAAAGCACAGAGGTTGCAAAAATTAAGACTTTTTTTTTTTTATTGATTCTTGGTTTTTACTCATGAGAGAGATAAAAAAAGGGAACAAAATATAAGTGTGCCAGTTAAATATGTTTAAATGATTAAAGTTTTACTTCTCTCTGGGCTAGTTTTCTTGATCTGTCTTTGTTGCTCAAAGCTTGAACATTTCTGCTTGACATCAAAACATCTTAGATAAGTAGTTACAAATATTTTTCTGCAAAGGTCAGGTACTGAACTGAAGGTGGATGAAAAAAGTAGCTGAAGTCCAAACTTCAGATAGTCTGAACAACTGATGCTCAAGATTACTTTGGATTAACTTGGTAGCAAAATATAAAGAAATAAAAAATGACTCAATACTTTTGCACATTATAGCAGTTTAATTAAAATATAATCTTAAGATTGAATGAACAAGATGGTAAAACAATTACTTGGTAAAATAAATTATTTAATTAAACAAGAAAAAATGAGTTACATGACAAACTACAAGTGTAGTAGTACACTTGTAGTACAAGTGTGTACAAAAATGCCATTTAATAAATAACTACAAAATCTGATTTGGTATCAAGTCTCAAACACTAACACATGTGGTGCGAATGACAAATAAATCTCTGACTCTAACTCTAACCCTTGAACTATCCCCCCAACACACACACACACACACAAACACACACACACACACACACACACACACACACACACACACACACACACACACACACACACACAGAGTTCCCCAAGGATCAATTCTTGGTCCCAGTTTATTTTCTATGTACCAATGAAGTGCAATCATTTTTCTTTGAAACCACGATTTGACCTCCGATTTATTATCTTTAACTGTTTCATCCTTCCCAGGTTGCAAGGGTCAGTGGTGCCCATATCCAGTGGTCACTGTGCAAGAGGCGGAGTGCACCCTGGACAGGTCTCCAGTCCATCATTAGGCCACATAGAGACAAATGAGACAAGCAACCATTCACTCTCTCACACACCTAGGAACAATTTAGAGTTACCAATCAGCCTAACATGCAAACTCCACCCAGAAATGTTCCCAGTGAGGATTTAATCTGGAAGCCTTCTCACTGAGAGGACAGCTCTACTAGCTGTGCCACGATTTTTTTTATTTTATTATTTTCTTCAGGCTGCTCCCTTCTTCAGGGATCACCACAGCGAACTAACTCACACAAAGATTTGGCAGTTGTTTTTACGCTGGATGTCCTTCCTGATGCAACCACAGACCACTGAGCTACCACAGCCCTCTGTGTGGAGCAGAGAGCTGACATCTAGGGTGCCCATGGGAGCAGATGGTGGGGGTTAAGGGCCTTGCTCAAGGGCCCAGAGTGAGGCAAATGAGGGTGGTGGCAGGTGTGGCTGTTTCCCACAACATTTAGATGTTGTCTGATCGGGGAGTTGATCCGACAACCTTTGATCACAGACCCACCTTCTCTAACCTCTGTGCCACCATGTTACCCCAGAATTGTTTCTTCACATTAAGGAATTAAACCCCAGTCTCCTGCAACAGGCAGGAATACTTACTTCAATAGTTTTGGCCCCAGTGGAAACTACAATGTTTCTCCCATCTGGGAGCTTAGAGCTGTTTTTAAAATTCATGTTAAAAAGTGGTAAAGGTGATGGATGGATAGTTAAATGAGAATCAGATTAATTCTGTAGTAAAATGATCCTTTTTTTAAACGAGGCTTGTGTGGGGCATTTTCTAAAGTCAAATCTTTTTTACTCTTTACCGACTCTGAACAGGTGATTCAGGTTTTACCTCCCGGCTGGATTACTGTAAGTCTCCGTATGTTGGCGTTAGCCAGGCCAGCCCCTCAGGACTGCAGCTCGTTCAGAATCCTGCAGCTCATCTTTTAAAGCCAGCATGCAGACATAAGCAACTCAAATTAATGCACTGGTTTAAAAACGAACAAATCTTCATTGTTCTCCATTTTTACAGACAAGTACCAACCCTCAAGCAGAAGATCGCAGGGAAGTCACCTCCCACAGAGAAGTTTGCAATTCGTAAAGCCAGACGCTACAAAGCTCCTCAGCTGATCAGGTTGCCAGTTCCAGCACTGGTAAAGAAAGACATGCATTCATATTCATGCAGCTGGATGATTGTTCTGCTCACAGCAGTCTCTAACCTTACGAGCTGCTTGGTTACAGGAGATGATGTACATGTGGAACGGTTTTAGTATGATGTGCAAACAGCCGGAGCTCACCGAGGGCATGATGCAGACTTTGGTGGAGGCAGAGCGCACTCTACTGGAGTCTCCTGGTAATGTAGCTTAAACAAAATCAAGATTTGGGGGGGGGGGGGGGGGCTTATATGGTTTAATACTACTTTAATTAGAGCATATTTAATTCTCTCTTGGCAGAAAATGAGTATACAGTGGATGACCGCTGTTTGATCCATATGCTGAAGGGGCTGTGCTTCAAGAACCAAGGGATCCTCCAGGCTGCCGAGGAGTGTTTCATCAAAGTGTGTTCAAGGTGAGCTCCTCATGTGGACAAATATCAATCTGTACATTACGTCAGTTCTTCTTCAAACACCTTTTAGAAACTCTGGCAACCATTCTGTTTATTTGTGTTTATGGATTAAGAGCAAAAGACAAACAAGAAAAGCAAATTTGAACTGATTCCAAAGTAGTCCAACATGAGTTAAGCTAAGTTTGTTTTCTTAGCATCAGTTCTCATACTGTGAATATTTGTGTAGCAAATGTCAAGAATGGCATCATCTCCTGGAGAAGATGCTTAAATTTTAAGATGCAGTTTATTTGATTGTGACCTGAGGTACAATCACCGTTACCTATAGTGAGTGGTAGGAGAACCTCACATTCCCCTTTTGTTACACAGGTAAGTTTGTAAGAGTTAACAGAGGCGTTGCTTGCAAGTTAGATACATTTTATTTGGTTCACAAGAGTACAAAAACTGCCCTGGGCTAAGGTCTAGTGTACTTTCAATAAGATCTTAAATATTATATTATAAAAGATAAAAAATAGAAAGCTAAAACAGAGGGCTGGCCCTGGGAACCTCTTAGTTGATATGTAGTTAAAACCTGTTTGAATAAATTAGACTGCTTGGGGGAGAAATAAAGAGCAAAAAAAATAAATACACCTAGGTGTTCCCAAAAGCCCTGGTGAACACAACAAAGAAATAAAACTCCCCTTCCACTAGTCTCTTCAGTCTAAGAAAAACAGCTTTGAACCTCGGGACATCGTAGGTCCCCTTTAAAATAATCCAGAGGGCTGAACACCAGGATTTCCCCTTCCTTTACCCAAAACAAAATCCAGGAAATAGTCTTAATTAATAATAAAAACTACTGAGGCTAAACACTAAAACCAAACAGAAACAGCAGCAGGCCAACCTCCTGATAAATTAAACTGGTCAATATGCTCTCCCCGTGTGTCACACCCTCTAAAAAGGATCTAACCCTTAAAATCAAAAGGAGCGATAAAGATAATACAAAGTTCCAAAAAGGGACAATGTTCAGAACAAACATACCTCTGCCAGGATCAATGTCAAATCAGCATGGGATGTGATCCTCGGCGATCTACCTGCTCTTAAATCTAAGCACCTGCCCTCATAACGAGCCACCTGCGCTCTGTCACCACAACTTCCATACATGGACTTACAAACCAGATTCCAAAAAAGTTGGGACACTAAACAAATTGTGAATAAAAACTGAATGCAATGATGTGGAGGTGCCAACATCTAATATTTTATTCAGAATAGAACACAAATCACAGATCAAAAGTTTAAACTGAGAGAATGTATCATTTTAAGGGAAAAATCTGTTGTTTCCAAATTTCATGGCGTCAACAAATCCCCAAAAAGTTGTGACAAGTCCATTTTTACCACTGTGTGGCATCCCCCCTTCTTCTTTCAACACTCAACAGACGTCTGGGGACAGAGGAGACCAGTTTCTCAAGTTTAGAAATAGGAATGCTCTCCCATTCATGTCTAATACAGGCCTCTAACTGTTCAATCGTCTTGGACCTTCTTTGTCGCACCTTCCTCTTTATGATGTGCCAAATGTTCTCTATAGGTGAAAGATCTGGACTGCAGGCTGGTCATTTCAGTACCCGGATCCTTCTCCTACATAGCCATGATGTTGTGATTGCTGCAGAATGTGGTCTGGCATTATCGTGTTGAAAAATGCAGGGTCTTCCCTGAAAGAGATGACGTCTAGATGGGAGCATATGTTGTTCTAGAACCTGAACATAGTTCTCTGCATTAATGGTGCCTTTCCAGACATGCAAGCTGCCCATGCCACAAGCGCTCATGCAACCTGTCGTGGTTAGAGTACCACGTCGTGTTCAAAATGGCTGAGGCGTCGCCCTTTGTATAAAAGATTTATTTGACACAACATGGGTTACAGATATTCAGAGACAAACAATTACATTAATAAGATATATGCATATAAATGGAGCATTAAGAACGAACCGCCATGTGCGCCTCCCGGAAAATGCTCGGTGGGCGTGCGTCATTTCCGGCCTTTTATCCCCGTTTGAGAAGGCTAGCTTCCTGATTGGTTCAGCTTCCGTCGCTATGGTTACGACTTAGCCCGCCCCCTCAAGGACGTTAACGTCTATATTTCAGATAAGTTTTGGTACACCGAAATCGGCTTTTGTTTAAAGTTTAACTTGCTATTATACTTTAGGGATATAAAATGATTCGTGTCTAAATTGTTTATACGTAATAATTAATAACTATTAATTATTACCTACCTCCTGGGTGTTAATTCAATATCTGTTGAAGGCCTGGTGATTCTGTTTTTTAAGGCAGATTCATCTTAGTTTCCTTGTCTGCGTTTAAACTGTTAACGCTGTTTGTTTAACGTGATTATACCTTAGTGATACCAACTGATTTGAAATAGTTGTTTATTTCTAGGAATAATTATATTATCTAACTTATGTTCGTGTTTTTATTTGGATCATGGTTATACTTTTAATTTGATTTTACTTAATCAAACTTTATTGTCTAAATTAAAGAGCTATGTTCTAGCTTTATTTATGTTAATCAGTCTGCTCTCTGGCCTGATTTGATTGCTTGTAATTTATCAAATGTGAACTTGTAAAATTATCCTTAGCTACTATGAGATTATATTTAAAGGTCAACTAGTTAGAATTAGCAAACATTTTCTATAAACATAGTTCAACCTTGGAAGAAAGACACGCACACCCTTTATGTGACATGACATTTGAGTGCTTGATAGGAATTATAAAAATGTATAAAATATTAAATCCAACAAACCCCATACCATCAGTGATGCAGGCTTCTGAACAGAGCGTTGATAACAACTTGGGCTATCCTTGTCCTCTCTGGTCCGGATGACATGGCGTCCCAATGTTCCATAAAGAACTTCAAATCGTGACTCATCTGACCACAGAACAGTCTTCCATCTTGCCACACTCCATTTTAAATGGACACAACTGGACCCACATGTTAAACATCCATCCATTATCTTTAGCTGCTTCGTTGTGGGGGTCACTGATGCCCAAGTCCAGCAGTCACTGTGTGAGGAGACGGGGGACACCCTCACAAGTCCATCACAGGACCAAGTAGCATATAATTTTTTTTATCCCTGTTTTTCAGTGAGAAGAAGATTAAGTTCGACCACTATCTGGTGCCAAACTCTCTGGTGGAGCTCAGTCTGCTTTACATCGACCAAGGCAGAAGAGACGAGGCCATTAAAATACTGCGTAAAGCCAAGTGAGTTATTCTTTCACACAAGTTGCATTTTGTTTTCTTGCATGCACTTTTTTAAAAAGGGTAGACATTTATATTTGAAGTAGCACAGTTTGATACCAGAACCTTGGGATTGTATAAAATGTAAATAAAAACAAAAGCTTTGCAAATCTTTTAAATCCATATTTTATTCATAATAGAGCTAATAAACATAATAAATTCTCATTTTCATGGCAGCGACACATCTACAACAAATAGGGACATGTTTTTTCAGTTCTTCAGTCACTCTTACTTTTTAGTGATTGTTTTTAAAGAACAGAATAGACTTTTGTTTCTGAGGACAAACTCAAATGAACTTTCCAAGAACAAGAAATCAAAACAACAAATCAAATTAATTCAACTCATTTTAAAAAATAATATACGGTTGATGTTTTTAAAGTTTTTAATGTTTTAACAATTTAGAACTCCTTTACCACCAAAATCAGTAAACTTTTGTATTTTTTCCAAAATATTGTTCACATTGTTGTTGAGGGGTTTAAAATGAAAATAATCAAATTAAAAAACCATAATAAACATGCTTTTTTCAATAATTAATCTTAAATTCTTTTTTTTACCGCAACTACTTTTATCTGACAATTTTGGTCTACATATAAAAACTTTGAACGCTCCTGTTTTAGAGCAACATATGATCTCTGCCAGAAGACCTTGCATTCAGCTTTGCCCCTACCATTATCCAAGGAGGGCGGCCCTCTAGATAAATAACATTACCAATTGATTTTTTATGTCTGTGAATGTTTCTGTTCAGTGTGATTTGGAGCTACATGAATATAATGACGTGAAAACTCTCCCAATAGAAACGCCTGCCCTGCTATAAAGATCATGGTCTGAAAAAATAATTAATAAACGTCCATTCATGTTCACACATGACCAGTTCTGTGCAGCAGAGACCAAACGTCCCATTTCCCATCATCACCCTCTCCTCCTGCGCCATGCCAGAACTTCCCCTGACTTTTGTATCAAAATTTAACCTTGCGTTAAATGTTAATGTGTTCACATTATCATGCAAATGTCCAACCTGTGTGACCAGACTCCTGCTAGCAGAAAGGGCTCTGCCCCGGGAGCACAGCACACAGCTAGTCTGAGTCACTATCTTCACTAAACTGTTTTCTGCAACTTAGAAGTGCTTAGTACTGCAGTTGTTGGACAGGAGAGGGAGGACAGGAAAAGGAGGACAGGAGAGGGAGGACACGACCCTGGTTGAGGACTTTGTAGTGTGGTGCACATCCAACCATCTACAGCTGAACATGAGTAAATCAAAGGAAATGCTAGTGGACTTCAGAAGGTCTGGGCCTACCCTTAAGCCGGTCTCAATTGAGGGGGTTGATGTGGAGGTGGGCAGACTCACAAACATCTGGATGACAGGCTGGACTGGTCAGTGAACATGGACTCCCTCTACAGCAGTGCTTCTCAATTATTTTCTGTTACGCCCCCCCAGGAAGAAGTAAATATTTTGTGCCCCCCAACTCTCCGCCACGACTGGAAATAATATCATTCGTCTATAAAATTGTTATAACTTTGTCATTTCCGGCAAGCTGATTTGACGGCAGCTCCCTCCGGCTTCTCTGCAGTCTTTTATCATCAAACTGACCCGTTTTTTCGAACCGGACTAAAGTTGGTCCCCCTTCCAACTGAATTCGGTGTTCAGTGACTCAGAGAGCCGGACGGGACCGTCCAAAAATATATTTTGGTCCAGGACCGGCCGCTCCCACCCCACCGGTCACTCTAAGCGCACCCTGCCGGCCAGGTGACCCCTCGAGCTGGGAGTCGTCGCACGAAGGTCCGGTGGTTTTTCTCTCTCTCTCTGGACTCCAACAAACTTCTCATCTGGATCTTTATGGTTCTACCTGGTTCCAACAAGATTCGCTGGGTGGTATTTCGCTGGTTTTCTGCTGGACTGGCCCTCGTGGTGTCTTCATTGGTGTGGGGGAAGCGTACCTGTGTCCCCCGAACTGGACCAGAACCGAATCGAGTTGGCTGTGGGGGACTTCGTCTTCAACAGAGCCGGTCTCAGCTTCAGTGAGCAGCCCGTTACTTTTAAACGAAGAACTGTCCACCTCCGTGGAATCGCTGTGTTCGCCTGGATGAGACGCTTTGATGCTTTGAAGCACCGCCGGAACCGGACCAGAGCAGAAACGGGCCAGGGACAATTTCAGCCTCTTGGTCTCTCGTGCTGTGGAGCGCCGGAGCCGGACTAGAGCAGAACCGGACTGGACCAGTGACGACTTCAGCCTCAGCCTCTCCGGTCAGTCTCGTTTTTCACCGGGGGTGCCTCTCGTGCTGTCGGGAGTGGAGGTGACATGCAGAGAAGCAGAGGAGCAGCGCTGCGTGGTGCTCGAGAGAAGTTCAGAGTTTGTATCGGAGTTGCTGCAGGCCTCCATCCAAACTCACCTGGATAATAATTAACTTTGTTCCAGATCACGCTGTTGTCCCCTGTTGACCTGAAACGAGCTAGGACCATGCCTTTCATTTCAGGAGGATTTTCTGGCAGCTCGCTCTGCTATTTGCTACAAATTATCTGTTTCTGTCTGTTGGTTCTGGACCCAGCTTCTGTTTCTCATGGGAGCATCCATCCATCTTCACAAGGGGGCCGGAGCCCCCCTCAGCCCAACTCAAACTGCAGTTGGGCCACCTCGTCGGACTTGTTTGCCCATTTGATTTGTGACGTTTTATGGTCTGAGATTTTTCTGCACCATTCATATTATTATTATTGAGCATGCATCAGGACATTCATATTATTGTCATTATTTTCAGATCTCAGACTATCTGGAGTCACTGAATCTTGTTAATATACTTGGATCTGCCCATCACTGCAACTTTCACTGTTTTTGGGTTCTGAATGATCGCGTCTTCATTAATGTTTCTCATGGTTTGATTATGGAGGCTAATTCATTGTCACACTGTTAACTCCTGTAATTACACATCAGTCACGAAAAACTCGAGAAAATGTCTGATAATAATGTTACTGCTGTCAGGGATTCAGCCTAACACCAAATGACTTTAAAAACGTGTCTGGGCTTCATTTTCTGCATGTAAACGCTCATAGCCTTCTGAGAAAACTTGATACCTTGAAAATTCTGGTCAGTTCTTCTGGGGCAGATGTAATCTTAATCTCTGAAACCTGGCTCAACAAATCTGTACTGAATAATGACCTGGTAATCAATGGATTTAACATCTATTGCTGTTATCATAAAAAAAAGGGGGGGGCAGAGGTGGAGTTGCTATTTACATCAGAGATTCTCTGGTTGCTAGTCTTGTGTCTTCTAAAACAATTCCTAACCAAGATGATGCCTTAGCTGTAAACATCACTTTGAATGGAGGCCAGATTTCATCTGTAGTGGGTTGTTATCGTCCTCCTTCAGCAACATCTGAGGCTCTGTCTTCCCTGATAGAATTCCTTGGTAATTTAAAATTCACAGAGATCTTTTTGGCAGGTTTCAACATTGACTGGGGTAAGTCGCCCCCCCCCCCCCCCCCTGTGATAAATTCAAGGAATGTTGCCTGTCTTTCAATCTAACCCAACTGATCAACTCTCCCACTAGACCAAACAAAAACCGTCCTGAAAAGTCCTCCATCTTACACCTGTTTCAAACAAATATGCCTCACAAATTCCCTGGTACAAGTGTATTTGCTAACATTTTGAGTGATCATTGTGTGACAGCGACTCTGAGAGATTTTAAACTTCCACCTTCTAAGCCCAGATTAATTCAAAAAAGGGATCTGAAACATTTTTGTGAACAGGCATTCCTCTGGGATCTGTCTCACTTTGACTGGCATCGTATTCTATTAATTGATGACGTGAACACTGCTTGGAACTATTTTCACAATAGTTTCATTTATTTTGTGAACAAACATGCTCCTTTTCATCGGTTCAGAATAAAGGGACGAGACAGCCCCTGATTTACTCCAGAGCTAGCTGACCTCCTGCACAGGAGAGACCATCTTTGGGCTGCAGCGAGAAAATCTGACTCAGACACTGATTGGTTGAGTTTTTGACAGATGAGGAATAAATGCACAACTGCTATCAAAGCAGCAAAATGCAACTATTTCTTATCTCAGACCTCCAAAAATCTAAATGACCCCAACAGATTCTGGAAAACTATCAAATCTCTCTCAGTCACCCCCCAATCATCTGACCTCCCAGCACAACTTCTCGTTAACTCTGTTCCTGTGTCAAATAAGCACGAGATCCTGAACTGGTTCAACAAACATTTTGTTGCTTCTAGTTCTTTATTTGACACAGTTACTAATGGAAAATCAGCCACTTCACTTAATAACCAAACTTCTACAAATCAAATCTACAAGTCAATCCTCAGTTAAACACAGCTTCTCTTTTTCTCCATTCTCAGTCAGTGAGGTCAATAAACTGTTAAAAGATCTTGACCCTAAAAAATCTGCAGGTCCAGATGAACTTCCACCTCATTTCTTAAGACTGGCTGCTCATATCATCACAGTCCCTGTGACCCACATCTTCAATCTCTCCATAAACCAAAACTCCATTCCAGATGCTTGGAAAACAGCCTTTGTTCTTCCTTTGCTCAAGGGAGGTGACCCCACCTCACTGAACAACTATCGACCAATCTCTAAACTCTGCATTTTAGCCAAGGTTCTAGAAAAACTGATAAACTCTCAAATCAAAACTTACCTGGACTCATTTAACATCTTACCTCCACATCAATCTGGTTTCAGGAAACAACACGGCACAACCACTGCTTCACTGAAGGTTCTTAATGACATTGTTGAAGCACTGGATGCTAAGGATTATTGTGCTGCACTTTTCTTAGACCTGTCTAAAGCTTTTGACACTGTGGATCATAACATCTTGTGTCATAAGCTCTCAGAAATTGGTTTCTCAGAACACACCATTGGTTGGTTCTCTAACTATCTCTCAGACCAATGTGTTCAACATAATGGTACTTCCTCCAGTTATTTAACAGTCAACAATGGTGTACCACAAGGCTCAGTCTTAGGACCCACCCTCTTTACAATCTACATACATAATGTAGGTAAAAACATCCCTAATGCATCCATACATTTCTATGCTGATGACACAGTTGTTTATTGTCGAGCTAAAACTGTTGCTAAGGCTTTCCAGCTTTTGAAATCTGCATTCAACAACATCCAGACTGATTTGTTTCGCCTCAAACTTGTCCTAAATGCCAACAAAACCAAAGGGATGCTTTTTTTCAAACAGGAAGTTGGTCCCAGCAGTTCTTCCTCTGATCTCATCCTCAAATGGTGTCCCCATTGAGTTTGTTGATTCCTATAAATATTTGGGTATCTTGGTCGACTCACATCTCTTTTAAGCTCCATGTGGAAAACTTGGTAAAGAAACTAAAAGTTAAACTGGGTTTCTTTTTCAGAAACAGATCCTGTCTAACCCTGAATGCTAGGAAACACCTTGTATCTATGACCTCCCTTCCCTCCATTGATTACGGTGACATTATTTACATGAACGCTCCTACAAGCACTCTGCAGATGTTGGATGCTGTCTATCATGGTGCACTAAGATTCATAACTGGCTGTGATTATCGTACCCACCACTGCGCCCAGTATTCACTGGTTAACTGGACATCATTAACTTCACACAGACTCTCTCACTGGTACATTTTCATCTTTAAATCACTTCTTGGTCTGTTGCCTTCATACATCTCCTCCTACATGTCTCTGCGTGAGTGCAGCTACGGCGTGCACTCTCAGGACATTATTACTTGCAGAGTTCCCTCAGTGAGGACTGAACTAGGCAAAAGGGCCTTCTCCTACTCCGCTCCTGTTTCCTGGAATATCTTACAAAAAGATTTGAAGCTCTCGACCTTGACCTCTCTAAGTGGCTTTAAGAATCTGTTGGACTCCTGGCAGGGACCAATGCAGACATGTTCCTGTTTTTAGTTTTCTACATTTGCCTTAGAATCTAGCTGTTTTTTGTTACCTTTTTTTAGCCACCCTATTTGTTTAAAAAAAAAAAACTGCATTAAGACTTTTTATAATTGTTTATTGTTGTTGTTGTTGTTGCCCATTGTTGTCATCTTTCTTTGTTGAAATCAGGTCTCTCTTGTAAATGAGTTCTCGAGGCTCAATGGGATTTACCTGTCTAAATACAGGTTGAATGAATAACTACACATCTGCATAACACTGTGTCCTTTCTAACATTAAATAAATAAAAAATATATAGATCAACTTACAATGAATAACTTTATTAACATTGTTTTTTAGTCTTTAACAGAGACAACTTAAAGTGCATCAATTTGCCTGAACAAAAAAAGATTTAACTCTTTATTTAAACTGTAAACATTTGATACTGAAAAATTAAATGTAATCAATAAATAATAATACATTCAAATTGATCAGCCGCATTTTAACTCAGGAGTGTTTTATAAAACACTTTTTTTTTTAAAATCTTTTTTTTTTCTTCACTTTTAAATAAAACAATTTGCGCTGATTTTTTATTTTTTAATCAAAATGAGGAAGTCAGGATCAATGAGCACACTCATCGATAAAACTAAAACATTTAGTCAACGTGAAAGAGGAAAGAGGGGGCAGGTGTCCCTCTCGCTTTGAGTTTACTCTTTGTTGCATGCGTGCTGTGAGTGACGAGCGTCCAGAGTCATAAAACACATGCAACGGAGGTGTCAGAGTTATTTATTCATGTATGGCTGCCAAAACGACAAGGCAGCCATATTTGTTAATAACTTTATTAGTAGTAACACTGAGAGATACGAGCAAACAGCTGCCGGAATGCACGCGACAAAATGAGAATGGTGGGAAAATTAAAAAAATATATACTCCCTGCAGCAAAAAAAGCATGTTCTCCAGGTCACATGCGCCCCCCTGGCATCGCCTCAGGCCCCCCAGGGGGGCGTGCCCCACTATTTGAGGACTGCTCTACAGGAAGGGTCAGAGAAGGCTCTACTTCCTGAGGTTTGGCTCCTTCAGTATCTGGAGGAAACTCCAGCTGATGTTCTACCAGTCTGTGGTAACCAGTGTCTTCTGTGCTGCTGTGTGTTGGAGGCAGCATGAAGAGGAGAGATACTGGGTGACTTGACAGGCTGGTGAGGAAAGCTGGTTCTGTGCTGGGAACAGAGCTGGAGTCTCTTACATGAGTGGCAGAGAGAAGGTCTCTCAGGAAGCTGCTGTCCATCATGGACGATGCTGACCATCCTCTGCACAGCACCATCATGAAGCAGAGGAGCTCCTTCTGTCCCAGCCCTGCTCCATGGATTCACGAAGTCCTTTGTCCCTCAGGCCATCAGACTGTTCAACTCCTCCTTGTACAGTAAAAATAGAACCTTGTAAATCTGTGGTACCCTGAACACACATGTGTATGTATCTACATGTACATATACGTATACATGTATGCTTAAATGTGTACATATGTATATTTGTTAATAATGAATATAGTACTCTCTACCACCTTGTGCATGTTGTCTTTTTCCAAATGTGTGTATTCTGCTTCTTTTTTAATTAGTTCATGTGTTTTTCTGTTTAATTTTAGAACAGGCTACTGGATGCCTCAAATTTCCCCTGGAGATTAATAATCTATCCATCTCAAATTATATTAATTTATGTTCAGTGTTTTGTTGTGAATAAAACAGGTTTTTGAGGTTTGCAAATCCTTACTTTGTTTTTAATTTACATTGGACATAATTTCCTGACATCTTTAGAGTTTGGGTTGTGTCAAAGACAGAACTCTGCAACTTCAGCCAAGTCCCAGATGTTAGCCAGCTGCTTAGCCCAAAAGGGTTTTCTGTCTGGACTTGTACGTCCATCACTTCAGAAGGGAGACTGGAAGACTCAGCTTGCTGATTTTTTTTAATATTGATACGAAAGAAATGCCAATATTAACATTTTTTATTAAAATTTTCAAGTAGATTCTTAAAAGCAGATAAAGGAACATTTCTTGTCTAATCTTTATCTCCAATAAATGTTCCATCTTTTAAAAGCTCCCACTTGTGTCCATTGAGTTGGACTGAGGTCTGGACATGACTGGACCCGTGGAGCAGGTCAGGACTGTTTCCACTCTGACTTCTGTTCTGACCCACAGGCACAACTATAAAAACTACTCGATGGAGTCGCGAACCCAGTTCAGGGTTCACGCTGCTCTGGCCAAACTCAAGGCGGACCCTGGAGAGGAGGACACCCATCTGTGACGGAGCGGCTCCTCACTGGACTCCTGTGGTTGATTCTTTTATAGCTTTACCTTCTGCATTTACAACAAATGAGACTTTTATTACAGTTAAGTGACCTTTTAAAAATATTTTAGTGTTTATCCTGATGGTGAGGAGTCACCTTCAGGTTTACACATCAGGTATTTCATGTATAATGCTTTATTGTAAATACGACTAAATATCTTAATGGATCACACTAAACATCTGGATTTTACTGTAACTCTTAATGTTTAGTGTTTTATTCTTAATGGAGCTCTGATTTGCACATAAGTTGAACATGTGGGAGAAGTTCAACTCAACTCGTTTTGTTCAAATTAGTAGAGCTAAGAAGAAAACCTGTTTACGTGTCACTTACACAAGCTTGCTTTATTTAAACTCAACATTTCTGAATGTTTTAATTGAGCTTCCTGAAAACTTGACAAAATTTGTGTTTGCTTTAGCTGAAATTAACATTTTGTAATCGTTTACTTTAAAAGAATAGCAAAGGAAAAATGGTAAAACATGTACATTTATTTTAAAGATGTTTATGGAAACATTAAAAAGTCAAACACTTTCCCCCCAATCAATAAAGACAACTGTGTTTTTAGTCCAAGTTGGTGTTTATAATTGTTTTTTTCAACCCATTCCACTGGACGGAGTCATGAAATCCAGACTCACCATTAATACAAGTTGTCAGTTTATTCAGTAAACCAAATTAAATGAGTAAATCCTTCCTGACTTGTTTACACCAGATGAACAGCTGGACTGTGAGGCTCTGCAGTGGAATCAGTCTATCATACACTGCACACATACAAAGTTGACAACCAGCTTTCTAAGTTTAACCTCAAGAAGCAGCTCAGGTGTTTAAAATGAGTCCAGGACTACGATGGTGCTGCAGGATCTGCAGCAGCAGCAGCTGCTGCAGCAGCTCCTGCAGCAGCTGCAGTAGGATTTACAGGAGCTGCTGCTGCGGCGGCCGCCTTCTCCCTTATTGTGCGTTTCAACAGTTTCCTTTTCTTCTTCTCTTCCTTCTCTACTTCTGCAACCATTTCCAAGAACTGGGTGCTGCGGGGGTCCACAGCGTGACCAAAGCGCTCCCTGGCCACATCCAGCAGCCTCGCCTTTCGAGCTTTCTCCTCCCTCAGCTTCTGTTTGGCCTCTTGTTTTGCTCTGCGCCACTCCTCCATCATCTTTGGCATCTTGGCCATATTTTCTGCTATGAGCTTCTCCCTGTGACGGAAACGAGCAGATGTAAACAACAGCAAATACTGCCTTTAACGGGGTTTTACCTGAATATTGGACAAAATGTAGTTTTTACTCCATAATATATGTGACGGTCATTAACCAGAGGTGATAACGCTCTAAAATAAAAGGCTGTCAAATAACTTAATGGGATTTGTTATTAAAAAGTCATTAACACGTCACTTTAAAACATATTTCTCATTTATTTACTAAAGTAATTGAGCCATTTTATGGCGTCCTATCTCAACGATCTGCTGCAGCCATATGTCCCACAGTGCACTCTGAGGTCAGCAGACCAGATGCTTTTATTGGTTCCAGGAACTCGTTTTAAGTAGGGGTGCACCGATTGCAGTTTTCTGGCCGATCACGATTTCTAAAAAGTCTGACCTGTCGATTTTGTTTTCTAAGCGACACCGTCAGGTGTTATAAGTTCACAGTGCACCTTCAATTGTCCAATATTATTTTATTGAAAAACATACCCTTGTATAATATTCTAGAAACAAAACAAACTTGTTGTAACTGGCCATGAGGGAGTGCTCTGAAATATAAATGGTAAATGGACTGTATTTATATAGCACCTTTCTATCTTATTTCAAGATACTCAAAGCTCTTTACCCATTCATCCAGCACTCTACTAGATCTATACAAAGTTAATTGAACAAATCATTATAAAGAGATTAATCAGAGCTTTATCACATTCAAACACTGATGGGACACACATTGGAGGCGATGAGGGGTTCAGTGTCTTGCCCAGGGACACTTCAGCATGTGACTGCTGCTGGATTCGAACCCCCAACTCTTGCATCGGAGGACGACTGCTCTAACCACTCAGCCACAGCCGCCCAAAATGAAGTTCAGACAATTGTTGTTAAAACAAACAAACAAACCAAAAAAAGGTAAAATCGGTTTCTCATGTATCGGCCGATTTCCAATTTGGAAATCTGTTCTGATCCAAGATGGCGCCATGTACGGTCGCCCTGGCATTCTGGTGCGCTCTGTTTTTTCTGTTTTTGTGCATTAATCATGTGTCTGCGTGCTCCTACACTCGAGGAGCTACTAAACATCAGAATTACAACCCATGAGGACATTACTCCAGTTTTTTTAGTGCCTGCTGCAGAACTTGTGCACTTTTTGGCCAAAAGAGCGAGACTTCGCAGGAGGTGCAGAAGAGCCGGAGCGCTCGTGCGTCTCCGGAGGCGCGGTACACGCACGACTTTACCTGGAATATTCATCCCCAACGTCCATTCCCTCTACAACAAAATGGATGAGATAGCGCTGCTGATGAGAAGGAACAGCGATTTTTCCTCCTCCTGTGTGCTGTGCTTCACGGAGACATGGCTCAAGGAGCAGACCCCGGACTCCGCACTCGATCTAGAGGGATTCCAGCTCCTCCGTGCTGACAGACAACGGGAACTTTCCGGAGGAAAGAAGAAAGGCGGAGGAGTCTGTTTTTTTTATCAACAACGCCTGGTGCTCCGACGTGACAGTGATCTCCCAGCACTGCTCTCCTTCTCTGGAATATCTCTTCATAAACTGCAAACCGTTCTACTCTCCACGTGAGTTTACTTCATTCATTCTGGCCGCTGTTTACATCCCACCGTGCGCGGATGTGCACGAGGCTGAGCGCGCGCTCGCGGACCAGATTACGAGTGTAGAGCGGACTTTTCCGTACTCCCTTGTTATCATCCTTGGAGATTTAAAACAAGGCAAACCTCAGGCATGAACTACCTAAATATAAACAGTTTATTAAATGACTGACTAGAGAAGGAAACACGCTGGATCACTGTTACACCACAGTGAGCGGTGCTTATCGTGCTGTGCCTCGTGCTGCCCTGGGTCTCTCAGATCACGAGATGATTCACCTCATACCTGCATACAGACAGAGACTGAAGCTCTCAAAACCTGTGGTGAGGACATCCAAAAGTGGACCAGTGAAGCTGTGGAGGAGCTACGCATGTGTTTGGACACCACAGACTGGGACCTGTTCAGGGCTTCTACAGACAGTCTAGACGAATACACAAACACTGTGATGTCATATATACATTTCTGTGAGGACAGCATCATCCCATCACGCTCCAGAGTCATTTTCAATAATGATAAACCCTGGTTCACATCCAAACTAAGACAGCTTCGTCAGCAGAAGGAGGCTGCTTTCAGAGAGGGGGACAGAGACAACTACAGACGTGCGAAGTATGGATTTAGCAGGGAGGTGTCGAAGGCTAAATCCAGGTATAACACACGGCTGGAACAACAGTTCTCTGCAAACGACTCTGCTTCTGTCTGGAGGCGGCTGAAAGAGATAACTAATTACAAACCCAGAGCACCTCATTCTACAGACAATCTCAAACTGGCAAACGATCTGAACGACTTCTATTCACGCTTTGAAGTCATGGACTCACATTCCTCCATCCTCCACACCAACCCCAGCTCAACTGGTTTAACCACTTGACAACCCCCTGCTATCTCTGTACAAGAGGATGAAGTAAGGAGGCTTTTTAAAAGGCTGAACACACATAAGGCTGCAGGCCCAGACCTTGTGTCACCCTCCACACTGAGACATTGTGCTGGAGAGTTGGCTTTGGTCTTCACAGGGATCTTCAACTCTTCTCTGGAGTCATGCCACGTCCCAGCCTGTTTCAAGTCCCCCATCATCGTCCCTGTCCCCAAGAAGCCACATGTCACAGGACCAAATGACTACAGACCTGTAGCTCTCATGTCTGTAGTCATGAAAACCTTTGAACGTTTGGCTTCATCTCACCTCAAGTCCATCATCAACCCCCTCCTGGACCCCCTGCAGTTTGCCTACAGGGCCAACAGGTCTGTAGATGACGCAATAAATCTGGCTCTTCACTTCATCCTGCAGCACCTGGACTCCCCAGGAACCTACGTCAGGATCCTGTTTGTGGACTCCGCATTTAACACCATCCTCCCTGCTCTGCTCCAAGACAAGCTCTCCCTGCTCCATGTACCTGACTCCACCTGCAGGTGGATCACAGACTTCCTGACAGACCAGAGTCGGTGCGTGCGGCTGGGGAGATCTGTCTCGGACACTCGGACTATAAGCACAGGATCTCCACAGGGCTGTGTGCTTCCCCCCCCCCCCGCTTTTCTCCCTGTACACCAACTGCTGCACCTCCAGCCACGACTCTGTGAAACTTATTAAGTTTGCAGATAACACCACCCTCATCGGGCTCATCTCGAACGGTGATGAGTCTGCATACAGGAGGGAGGTGGACCGGCTGGTGACCTGGTGCAGCAGCAACAACCTGGAGCTCAATGTCCAGAAGGCAGTGGAGATGATTGTGGATTTCAGGAAAGCCACAGACCCTCTGCCCCCCCTCACCTGTAACAATACCCCCATCACCACTGCGAACTCTTATCGGTTCCTCGGCACCACCATCATCCAGGACCTCAAGTGGGAGCCGACCATCAGCTCCCTCATCAAGAAGGCCCAGCAGAGACTGTACTTCCTGCGACAGCTGAAGAAGGCCAAGCTGCCGGCCAAGCTGATGGTGCAGTTCTACACGGCCATCATCGAGTCCATCCTCAGCTCCTCCATCACGGTGTGGTACTCCGGGGCCACTGCCAGGGACAGACTCAGACTGCAGCGCGTTGTGCGCTCAGCTGAGAAGGTGATGGGCTGCAGCCTTCCATCCCTCCACGACCTGTACGTCTCCAGGACTGTGAGGCGAGCAGGTCGGATCACAGCTGACCCTGCTCACCCTGCACACGGACTGTTTGAACCACTCCCCTCAGGCAGGAGGCTTCGGTCCATTCGGACCAGAACCTCCCGCCATAAGAACAGTTTCTTCCCCTCTGCTGTTGGACTCCTGAACACTCATAATGTTACCTCATAATGTCTGCTTTGGTCACATTACATCTGTATTATAACTGAATACTCCATCTGTACTGTTCTCTAAGCTTTTTTATTGTTTTCTATTATATGGGTGTACATATGGTTATGTTATGGTTTTAATTTTACTTTATTTGTGGGTGTACATATGTTTTATGTTATGTTTTCATTTTTACTTTATTTTACGTTATTACTATTCGCACCTTTATGTCGAAGCAAATTCCTAGTTTGTGAACCTCGTTCATTGACAGGGCAATAATAAACTGATTCTGATTTCCCAAAATTAAGGAAATCGGGGCTGATTTATCGGTGCACCCCTAGTTTTAGTGTCAGAGGTGACAGGACCTTCTCTGTTGCAGGTCCAAAACTGGAATGAGTTACCACTGTACACCAGGCAGGCTCTCTGTCTCTCACTGTTTTTAAGTCTCGTTCACTTTTACTCTCTTATTTTGACACTGTGAGTTGATTTGATCTTGTCTGTATTCTATAATGTTACTCATTTAGTTCTCATCTTTACCTCTGTGGATCTATGGAAATACCTTCGTTTTTCGAGCGTGCATCACCTCTGGTGACGTCATCACCATTTTAACTCACCACTCCCTTCAGGACTAAACACTTGCTTTGCATTATATACCTTCGGTAGTCATCATTTTGAATTCATTCATTTCCTGCCACGGTGTCTGTTTTTCCTCCAGATCAGTTTTGAGCAAGTTTTCACAGAGCTGCTACCGGATATGATGTTTTTCCGGCTTTATCTTACTGGACTTAAAAATAATGTTTACAGACGTTACGTTGGATTCCTGTTGGACACAGCTTCGATTTGATACCCCACATGTTATGGTTTTCTTTTTTAGCCATCTGTTGGTATAGTTCTAATGTCGTGAACTTTGACCTTATGTCAAGGTCAAATCACAATATTGCATCTTGTATAGAACAAGTGCAAAAAATCAATTTTAAAGTAAAAGACTGTTTAATATGAAATAAAGCGTTTCATCTGTTAAATCTGCATAAAATGTAAACCGTCTAATGAATTCCTTTTAACTAAATATTTGAATACATTGACTTTTCTGTGTAATAAACATTTTTCTTGTGTTTTTTTCTATTTTATTGGTGTTATTGAAACTTCAGCTTGTCTGCTTAGCTGCGTTTGTGCTCAGTTTTTAAACACAGTCCCTCTGACTGAATAATTAGACACATTTGACCCTGAACATCTGGTTGTACTCAACTTGTAACAAATGAAGCGTCATTTTTAAATAGTTTGTAGCTTTAAATGATTGTCCAGGTTTCATAACTAAAGCAGCCTTCAGTAAAAATCATTGCAAGTGCATACTCTTTGCTGTGTTAGTTTTCAGTGCATCACTTTGGGCCTTGTTCGTGTATTTAAGTACTTTGTAAATAAAGTGTTCAGGTATTCGTGGCAGCGCCTGAGCTCCACATGTGGAGGGAGGCCCAATGAGCGTGATTCATCCAAGTCCGCAGTCACTTGATTTAAAACCAGTGCAGTATTACAAGTTTACAAACATTTTAATCCTAAACAAAATTAGAAACTAAAACAGATTAAATGTAAAGCAGCGGGACTTACTTATCGCGCAGCTTCTTGGTTTCCTCCGCCTCCCTGGCCGCTATGTTCTTCAACATGACCTCTAATGGAGGGTGCCACTCGTTTTCATCCGCGATTATTTTATCCAGCTCCTCGTCAGTGGGCCACAGAGAGCCCGGCTCGATGCCCGACGCAGAGCCGAGGCGGCCGAACAGCTTTCGGTCGTACTTGTGCGTCTTCTGCCACTCCGGCGTCTTCTCGCTGTTCTTGTCGGGAATATAAGGTTTCTTGATGTTTATCTTCAGAGGTTTCGGGTTATAAGTCGCTGTCTGCAGGACAAACCCGGGACAGTTCACAGAAAGAATCGGTGTAAAGGATGAAATGCCTTTAAACGTCCTACAAACCACCACCATCCTCGGGCTCAACATGGACAGCGCCATGTTTACAACAAAAGAACCCGGATGTTGCTCTTCTTCTGCCGCTGGTGGTCGATTGAGCAGCTTAACTTAGAGGAGCTGTACCGCCACCTAGTTGTACCCAGAGCCCTGTTGTACCGCCACCTAGTGGCCGAAAGTGACAGCGCACAGTCTGAGGAAAGCTCTCTTTTTTTCTCCCCAGGCTTCAGGACTTTGTCTGAATATTGATAACTGTGAAATATTACCTATTCACCCATGTTCTGATTCTGTTATAGCTCCAATAAGAGTAAAATCAGAAGTGACCTTTTTAGGAATAGCTATATCCAAGAACATGATTCAAAGAGACGACTCTAACATTTCTGATTGTATCTCGAACATAAAAGATCTCTTAGTTGTTGGCTAACTATATTTGGTAGAGTTATTCTCTCCAAAGCTGAAGGTCTTTCTAAATTAATTTACCCATGCCATTCTCTGTATATTTCTCCTCTAAACATCAAGAAAGACAACTCTATAATATTTCAGTTCTTGTAGAAAAATAAAACCCATTATATAAAAAGATCTGAACTTGTTGGTGATTATAATAAAGGCGGCGTTAAAACCCTGGATTTTGAATCACTTGTAGGAACCTTCAAGATAAACTGGCTTAAAGTTTGTTTAACACAATCTAATTCCATGTGGTTTCATACACCCACATCTCTAAACAGCTAGGAGGAATTGAATTTGGATTAAAATGTGACTTTGAAATTAGTAAAACTCCTATAAAATTAGCTCGTTTCCACAAACAAGTTCTTTCCTTCTGGAACTTGATGTTTACCCATAACTTTTCTCCCCATATGTCGACCTTATGGAACAATAGAGTGATAACTGTTAACAGGAAGTCGATATTTAGAAGAAATTGGTTTGAGTGTGATATTCTGTTTGTATCTGAACTGTTAGACTCAGATGGCAATTTGTTAGATTTTATGTTCTTCTTAAAGAAATATAATTTAAATTGTACACAAAAACAATACGGGCAAGTCTGTAAGGCCATTCCACTGGCTTTAAGACAGTTAATATGCAACACTATGCTAGTTTCAGTAGTCAAACCAATACCTAATCTCAAAATAGAAAATTACAATTTATTAGATAGTAATTTTGATAATAAGATTATTAATGCTAAATTTAAATCTATTCTTTTTCATGATTATAATTCAGGAAGACATTTAAAAGTTTTTAATGGGGATCAGTCTTGCATAGAAAAGGCTTTTCCAAATTTGTGAAGTAGCCTGTCTCTCCAAAAATTAAAGACACACATTTCAAAATAATAAATAACATTTACCCGATAGCAGAATTTCTAAGGAGACGATTCATATTTGAGGTAGACGTGTTCTTTCTGTAACTCAGTATGTGAAACAACACAGCATCGGTTTATTTCATGTCATGTATCAGTAAATTTCTGGTCGAAGATACACAGTTGGTTATCACTAAAAATCAGTAATGTCCCACCTTTTGAATGATCACATGTCTTGTTTTATAAGGACAACCTTCAATCTTCTCTGACATGATCAACGTTGTTATTCTTCTGGGGAAATATATCCATTGTAGTAAGTGGAGGAATTTATTACCATCATTCACAAGGTTTATCAGTGACTTTAAACAATAATTTATTTCTCTCAAGAGGCTGAAATCTAACATCTCTGTAAGGATCTATGAAGACATTTCCAGGTTTTTACTTTTTTGATTTGTTCCTCGTGTAGTCTACGCTCTCATGATGGTACTCTGTCTTTACTGTTTATATTACAAGGATTGTGAGATTTATGTAACCACCTTTCTTCCTTTGAGTTTTTTTTTCCATATTTCTGGTTGTTGATATGTATCCTCCACGAGAGTTTTGTATTATGTAATTTGTTAATTAAAAAAATATATAATAAAAAGACTGAGCAGCTTAATTTAGAGTCGTACCGCCACCTAGTGGCGTAAAGTGACAGCGCACCGACGGAGGGAATTAGATTAAATTAAAATCAAGTGGAATCAATTACATTGCAAGAGATGTACAATAAAGAATTCAACACTTTTCATAACTTCACTGCAGACTATGTGTATTTGGAAAATTTAAGAATTTTACATTTTTTTAATTTAATTTAGACATGGCTGTTTGGGTTTCTGTTTTTCTGAGTAAGAACATTGTTTTACCCTGAAGCATGCTCAATCATCCAGATAGAAAAATCTAACAAAGTTGAGTCAGGTTCTGTGGACAGATTTAAATGATGCAGAAAAACTGGTCCATGCATTTGTCACGTCTAGACTGGACTATTGCAATGGTTTATCATCTGGGTGTCCAAATACTTCTTTAAAACGTCTTCAGTTAATTAAAATGCTGCTGCCAGAGTCTGAACTGGAGTTAGTGGGAGAGATCATATCTGTCCAGTTTTAGCTTCTCTCCATTGGCTCCCTGTCAAATAGAATTCAAAATCTTACTTCTAACATACAAAGCTCTCAACAACCTAGCTCCATCTTAGAGTACAGATTTTATTGTTCCATATTTTCCTAACAGAGCACTTAGGTCTCAGACTGCAGGTTTACTTGTGGTTCCTAGAGTTTCCAAAAACAGAATGGGAGGAAGATCTTTCAGTTATCAGGCTCCTCTCTTGTGGAACCAACTTCCAGTTTCTGTCCGTGAGGCTGACACTTTGTCCAGTTTTAAGACTGGGCTTAAGACTTTCCTTTGTGATAAATCCTATAGTTAGTGTCGGCTTGTTATGAAGCTATAGACAGACTACTGGAGGACAAATTGACCTCATTTCCTTAAATGAATTGTTAAAATTGAATAGTTTTCATTTGATACTATTTCTATCTTAACATGTTTCTCAACCTGCCATTGTGTATCTGTTCTTCTCAAACCCAGCTGGTTTAAGCAGATGACCGCTCGTCCTGATCCTGGTTCTGCTAAAGGTTTCTTCCTCATGAGGGAGTTTTTCCTTTCCACTGTCGCCTTCATGCTTGCTCAAGATGAGAGTTCTGTGATGGAGTTAAACTCAAAGCAGTCTGCTCCTCAGATAAATAATGTTTAATTATTATTTTATATGTGAATGTTTCTGTTAAATTATTATTTTATA